CTACAACCACAGATTCAGTGGTAACTCCATGCAGTGAACCAGTAGTCACAGTCACAGCTTCAGTGGTAACTCCATGCAGTGAACCAGTAGTCACAACCACAGCTTCAGTGGAAACTCCATGCAGTGAACCAGTAGTCACAGCCACAGCTCCAGTGGTAACTCCATGCAGTGAGCCAGTAGTCACAGCCACAGCTTCAGTGGTAACTCCATGCAGTGAACCAGTAGTCACAGCAACAGCTTCAGTGGCAACTCCATGCAGTGAACCAGTAGTCACAGTCACAGCTTCAGTGGTAACTCCATGCAGTGAACCAGTAGTCACAACCACAGCTTCAGTGGTAACTCCATGCAGTGAACCAGTAGTCACAGCCACAGCTTCAGTGGTAACTCCATGCAGTGAACCAGTAGTCACAGCCACAGCCACAGCTTCAGTGGTAACTCCATGCAGTGAACCAGTAGTCACAGATACAGCTTCAGTGGTAACTCCATGCAGTGAACCAGTAGTCATAACCACAGCTTCAGTGGTAACTCCATGCAGTGAACCAGTAGTCACAGCCACAGCTTTAGTGGTAACTCCATGCAGTGAACCAGCAGTCACAACCACAGCTTCAGTGGTAACTCCTTGCAGTGAACCAGTAGTCACAGCAACAGCTCCAGTGGAAACTCCATGCAGTGAACCAGTACTCTTAGCCACAGCTTCAGTGGTAACTCCATGCAGTGAACCAGTAGTCACAGCTTCAGTGGTAACTCCATGCAGTGAACCAGTAGTCACAACCACAGCTTCAGTGGTAACTCCATGCAGTGAACCAGTAGTCACAGCCACAGCTTTAGTGGTAACTCCATGCAGTGAACCAGTAGTCACAGATACAGCGTCAGTGGTAACTCCATGCAGTAAACCAGTAGCTACAACCACAGACTCAGTGGTAACTCCATGCAATGAACCAGTAGTCACAGTCACAGCCACAGTTTCAGTGGTAACTCTATGCAATGAACCAGTAACTACACTCGCAGCTCCCGTGGTAATGCCATACAGTGAACCAGTATTCACAGCCACAGCTTCAGTGGTAACTCTATGCAGTGAACCAGTAGTTACAACCACAGTTCCAGTGGTAGCTCCATGCATTGAACCAGTAGCTGCAACCACAGCTCCAGCTCCATACAACAAACAAATAATCACTATAGCTTCAAAGGCAACTTGTCCAGTCGATGAACAAGTGGTTTCAGCAAAGGCTCCAGTGACAAGTCTGCCATGCAACGAGATGATACTTATCAGACAGCCACGTGAATTCGTTGTCACAGAGCAGTCTAGATCTCTGAAGCGATCTCATGAAAAGTTAGCTGGTATTAGGTAATGTTGCAGTTGTTGCTCCAGTTTGCTCACCAAAAAAGGTATCCAGGACGGATAAGATATCAGATCTTTTGGTATGTTTTTCAATTTTACTTCAATGTTTTTTCAATTTCACTTCTATGTTTCTTTTAGTTTGATAATTTCTGTGGGATTGTAAATTATTTGGTTTACCACCATTTATTTTGAAATGGAGATGTGTTTTCTGTCTAACCAATTTATTGTTAAACCTCTCCTACAGTTGTTAAGTGTTTGTCAAAAAACTGAGAAGGTTTCTGACACGTTTGATACAATATGCTCTAAACTGTGAAATGCCCTCTGATTCAGAGCACTTTAGTCTGATTATTAATAGAATGTCCTCATTTCAGGTCAGTGAGGATGTTAATATATCTGATGATATTGCAAGTGGTTCATGTTCAGATAATAATTTGGAGATTGAGAGAAGAAACTATGTAAGTTGTCAACATCTGTTTTTCAGGTATAAAAAGTGAAACTGAAATTTAGGTAAAGATTTAAATCGCAATAATATATGATTATAAAACTGTTGGTCATCAGTTACATTCAGTTATGTATCTATATAGATATAGGAAATATCTATTCATTTGTATTGATATGATGATGGTTTTTGCAATGTTCTATGTTCA